ACGCGAATCCGCATAAAGTACCCGTTAGGTAACGGCTATTTCCAGCACATGGTCGTGTCGATAATCGTTGTAGAGGGCGGAAAAATAATATAGTACTTTACACAGAGTTCTCTTAGTGGATTAAGACTTTCTTATGAACCACTGTAAGAACTGTGTTAGCCAGATTGAACAAAGGATCAAATGGTGGAGATTGAAAGACAAGGAATTAAGGAAAGAGTTTAAGGTACAAGTGTTAAAAGAAATCCAATTTCTGGATGATGTGCAAACATGGTGGTTGCTGAATAGTAATTGTATTTTGAAAGTTGGAGAAGAGGTTTTGGGAAAAACTTCAGGGAAGAGATTGCCAGAAGGAAAGGAACTTTGGTGGTGGAATGCTGAGGTACAATCTGCAGTTAAACAAAAAAAAAGCAAAGAAAAAGTGGGATTTGATGGGAAGGCCTGAAAATAAAGAAACTTACCATTTGGCAAATAAAATGACTAAAAAGGCAGTGGCTATTGCAAAAGCTTTAGAAGAGGCTTATAAAGTTTTCAAAAGGAAAGGTGGTGAAAGGCAGTTGATAAAAACTGCCAAAGCACGAGATAAGGCATCAAAAGATTTTACCTCTGTTAAACTGATTAAAGATGATAAAGGAGTGGTATTACAAGATTACGAAAGGGACAAGGAAAGATGGGAAGTATATTTTAGGAATTTATTGAATGAAAAAAACCACAGAACTTTATACAACAATGAAGAGGCAAATGAAGGAGTGGTACAAGATATTAGCAGAAAAGAAGTGGAAAGTGTGCTTAGGAAAATGAAGATGGGAAGAGCAGTAGGCACTGATCGGATTCTGGTTGAGGCTTTGAGAGGTTTGGGTAAGGAGGGAATTGATATCCTCTGGGACCTTTGAAGGAGAAAAATTTTTGCAAGTGGTGTGGTTATGCATGAACTTTCTCCTATGTCTCACCCTTCTTCATATGTTAGTTTAAATGATTGGTTGGAGAAAAATAATGTGGTTGGAATATCGGGAATTGACACCAGAGCTTTGATGAGATATTTGAGGCAACATGGATTGCGAAATGGAATGATATGCTCATTGCCAGCACATGACACTGTGAAGAAACTCTGGCAGCAGGAGAAGATCCCAGATGAATGGAGGATGAGCATTCTTGTGCCAATCTTTAAAGGTAAAGGGGATGTACAGAACTGCAGAAATTACAGAGGTATAAAGATATTGTCCCTTACTATGAAGTTTTGGGAGAAAATTGTAGAAAGAAGGATTAGGCAGGAATCTGAGATTAGAGAGGAACAGTTTGGCTTTTTGCCAGGAAGGAGTACAACTGATGCTATCTTTGCTCTAAAACAGCTGATGGAAAGGCACAGGGAAATGCAAGATTTGCACACAGTGTTCATAGATCTAGAAAAGGTGTATGACAGGGTACCAAGGCAAGAGATATGGAGATGTTTGAGGAAAAAGAATGTTCCAGAAAAATATGTTAGGCTCGTTAATCAAGGAAATGTACAAGGGAGCAGAAACCCAAGTTAAGAGTAGTGTGGGCACTACAGAAGGGTTCTTTATTAATGTTGGTTTGCATCAAGGATTGGCCCTTAGCCCTTATTTGTTTGACCTGATAATGGACATGTTGGTGTGTGACGTGAAGGCTCCGTGGAGTTTGCTGTTTGCAGATGATATTGTGCTGTGTGAACTTTCCCAAACCAAGGCTGAGAAGAAACTGGAAGATTGGAGGAAAGTTTGGAAGAAAGGGGCATGAAGATTAGCAGAACTAAAACAGCTTATATGACTCTGAATGGTAGAGATGAGTGTAATATTAAAATTCAAAATGTGCCACTCCCTTTTGTTCCGAGTTTTAAATATCTTGTCGAGACGGGAGGAGGATTGAACTCGGCAGCATAGAATTCAATATGGATGGATGAACAGGTGGAAGCTGAGCAGTGTGTTATGTGACAAGAAAGTTAGCTGCAATATGAAAGGAAAATTATATAAATCAGTTGTTAGACCTGCAATGTTATATGTAACTGAAACATGGACAATAACAAGAGCCAAAGAAAAAAAGATAGTGGCAGTGTAGATGAGAATGTTGAGATGGATGTGTGGAATGTCAAGGGAGGATAGAATAAGGAATGATTTTATTAGAGGTTCTGTTAAGACGGGCCTCTCGAGCAAAAAAGATGCAAAAATGTTTAGGTGGTTTGACCACGTAGAGCAGTGTTTGTCAACCTCTAACAAATCGTTGCCCCCTTCAATAAAACCGTTACGTAGTATCGCCCCCCTTCACTTCAAAATTCCGATGCCGAGGGCCAAGGCTAACGCCAAATTCGTACCGCATTGAATAGACTATTGACTAGTATAATGTTAGTTGTTTAATTATTGCACAATATAATGAATAAAATATCTAATTATTCTTAATATAATGTTTTACGATATCGCCCAGAAAATTGTTTTTTGCCCCCAAAATATAAATTGTTACAAATCGCCCCCTCAACATGGAAAAACGTCCACGTGGGGGCGATATCGCCCCCGTTGAGAAACACTGACGTAGAGCAAAGGAGTGACAATTATGTTGGAAAGAAGATTGGAAAACTGGTAGTAAAAGGAAAGAGGAAAACCAAAGATGTGCTGGAAAGATAAGGTGGAAGAAGACTTGAACCAGAGGGTTCTTAAGAGAGAAGTCCTTGATAGGGAGAAATGGAAAAAACGTATTAGAGAAGGAAACGCAGACTCCACATAAAAATGGGAAAAGGCAAAGATAAAGAAGACGATATCTGAAATCAAGACTTGAAAATCAAATACATTATTAGAATTGAGTAGAAAAATAATTAACATTTTCTTCAATATTGTTACAACAAACAACAAAATTCTAGAAAAGATTTCTTTTCTAGAATTTTGAAAATGTGAGAACTGAAATTATTTTTGTTTGTGTTTAGGTAATTTCTCTGATTAAATAATGAATTAAAATATAAAATATATTTATTAAGTTATAACAAATAACATTTATTTTGGATGTAACTGATGATTCAAATGATGATGATTATAACTGAAAGAAAAAAAAGCCGATAACTTCTAATAGTCACAATCTGTTATTTGATTTCTTATAATATCTACTAACAGAGAATCAAAGCAAAAATAAATAAATAATATATTTATTTAAATAATAAAATATTTGTAAGTATAGTTAATTTGACAGTTTCAAACAAAATGTCAACATTAACGATACAAATTTTATTTAGCATAATTTTTAACAAGATTTTTGAATAAAAACCTGTGGTTTTATTATGCCAAAATTACGAATAAAAACAATTACAGTCAGATTTTTCTACATTAAATAATAAAAATTAACTTGAAAAATCTTAGTCAGTGATTATTATATCAAACAATCACTAAATTTTGTCAGAATTTAGAAATTACAAAATGAACTACTTGTTTGAATCAAAGATTCTAATATTAAATAATACATTTAGTAAGACTTATGGCTACACATATGAAACTTATTTGGATCAGGAAAGAGGTGTAATGATACTCTTAACTTATTGTGAGAGAAAGAAATTAAGAATTATTTCTTTATATCAAATCTTAGTTTAGTTTCGATTTTCAATAGTTTAAATAGTTTTAATACAGTCGACCCCCCTATAACATGGGTTCCTATAGTTCGGATTCCTACATCATGGCGAAAAAATTGCGACAGTATTCGTACAAACACGCTAAAAAAAACTCCTATAATTTGGTAAAACATCATCGCTGACTCGTCTCGCAACAGGATTGTACAAACTGTTGAGTTTAAACGAGCAGCGGACCTATCAAAAACCATTTATTATTTAACGTCCATAAAAATTATATTTATATTAATGATGTCTCTAAAGTTCAGCGAATTTTTCACAAAAAAAATAATTTAGTAGGAAGCACGCGAGTGCCATTCGATGACAATCTCCACGACGAAAACAAGCTTAAGCAACGGCGTAGTCGAACGGTGCACACTCGGTAAGTAATCCTACAATTTTTTGTTTGTAGCATAGTTTATATGGATTATTCCCAAAAAATTATACATATTTTGGAAATGTTGAGTTGAATTAGTCTAGAATCAATTAATTTTACAGAAGAAACCTTTCAAACAGCTGTAGTCCGTAAACTGCATACGCGCCGGGCTGTGATTGGCTGGACTCCTAGAAGCTGGATTCATAAAAACAGGAACATATCTACTGTGTTATAGGGGGTCGACTATATTTAAATAATTTTAAATAGTTTAAATATAAAGCATTCATATTCTTGCATACATACAATGATCAATTTGGAATTTTTTATCAGCAAAATGAGAGAGAAAGATTAACTAAGTATAATTTTCAGTAACAAAACACTGTGCTCGCATGTATAAGTCCAAAAAATGCTTCCTTTCAAAATTATAGCAATTTATAATTTTTACGTAATACAAATCAATAGTAATCTACAGTTTTGATGTCTGTATTTTCAAGTGACATTTTAAATGTTCTTTAATACAATAGACTGTTACTCAAACTCAGTAATGGCAGACATTCATTTTATGTAGCTTAGTTAATGGTAATACATGTGAAGTGCAATGACTGCACGAAGAATTTTTCAAACTGCTGTAACCTGAAAAAAAAGCATTTTCAAACCTACAATATATACAGAATTTAATTTTTATGACTCATAGAATACACTGTTAATGTATGGTGAAACCTCTCAAAAACACATTGTATCTCTACTATACATAATTCAAATATACTATATTTCTTCAAAAAAAAAATATTTGACTATTATGAATAACAAAGAAGAAAAAATTAACTTTTAGAAATCCAACACATTTATTATCAGATAAATGTTTTTTGCAGTTATTTCATTACATCCAGATCAAATTACACAATTAAGTTAATAGTATAATTTGATCTGAAGAATTTTGTTTCCTTCTTAATCATCAATATATCTTTACAGTTTTATTGTTAATTTTTAAAACATAATAATATATTAATTTTGAATTTTATTACTTACTTCTTCCAATTTAGACATTTTTGAAAATTGTCTAGAGTCTCTTTATTCAAAAGCTATAAAAAAAACAAATTAACTTCAGTTATATAATATTCAGATATAATTAGTTCATTTATTGTAATGATAAATCTTAACCGATTCAGTAATTATACCATTTATTCTAAATTTCTTAAGATCTAGTCAAAAAACCACATTCCACTGCTTTATTTGGAGTTCCGTTATTACTGATTTTCATATATCAAGCATTTTTTGAGCTGTGCTCCATCATCAGAGTTCATAATAAATGTAACAGCACTAGATTCAAAACTGAACTGGACTAGATCAAACTGAAGTTTAAAAATACTATTGTTTTTCCATAAGAAAATCAATAGAAAGATTTATAATTGAAAATTTAAAGCATTTTAATTAATGAAGTAAAATATATTTCTTTCAAATATTATGAAAGGAAACTTTAATTTGTTGCTAATTCAGAGATCAATCAATCAATAATCCATAAATATAAAGTGCTACCTGAAAAAAAAATTGTAAACAGCAAAATGATTTCAAATTTTTAGGATAAATTAACATGATAACATGATATTAATAATATCCATGTTAGGTTGTCAAAACAAAAATAACCACTAGAAACCAATAACTCAGATAAAATGGATGGCCTTGGCCATTTCAGATTAAAAACTGAAAATATGATTTATATTATAATTTTATACCTTAGTGAATTTAATCATACACAACAAAAATTTTTACAGGCTAATAAGCTAATATTAAAAGAATTTTAACAATTAAAATGTGTATTGCTTTAGTTACATTTTAATTTCAACAATTTATCTCAAATTGAAAATAAACAATAAAATGTAAGAGAATGATGAAAAGTAAGAGCAAAATATATATTGTTTTGTTGCCTTCAATTATTATTATTCCGAACATAAATAATCACTAACAGGTTTTTAATAATTTAATTTCAGTATAAGTTTTCTGATATAAACTTCAATTACTACTAATTTTATATTAATCATCATTAACACATTTTAATAAGTTATACTAAATAGACCTATTGAAATAGTTGAGGTTTATAAAATGACAAAGTTAAATATACATAGACTGTTTTTTTTCTCAAGCTATGAAAAAAAAAAAAAAAAAACAAGTGTAAGTAACAAAATGAATTTATTACCGAAAGTTAGGTACAAACATTGTTACTTTTTGACACAATCACCCTGAAGATTGAGGAATTTGTCATATTTGTATGTGATCGTAGGGTTGGTGTCTCGTTGACACCACAGTGTCTCGCAGGACTCAGAAATCGCAACTTTACATCACGTGAGTGGTTGGATTCGGAGTAGAGGTGAGGAGAGAGATGAGGAAGTGATTCACTCAGATTCCATATTAACTAACAATAACAATTTTAATTATAACAAAAGAAAACACAGATATACTCGATATCAAGCATGACTAACGTTCCCCTTAATTATTACTAGCCCGTTCGAGAGAGATAGTTACAAACGAATTGCGTGTTGATAAATACCTTGTAACTGAGTCGAAGATTTGTTATAAGATGACTAAATAAACTGTAGATGGAATGTTCGAGGTTCGATGAAATTGTTCTGGGTATTGTTCGGTAACAAGAACACTGCGGTGTGGAGGCACTAAGGTGTGCATATGTGTCAGATATCCTTAAAGAGGCATGGTCTTTTTCACGGTATTAATTCTTGAGGAGGCAACTTGGGAGGATGACTTCTGAGGAGGTCCATGAGGATGACTTTCCATGAGGTCAGGAGGTTGCTGTTAAGGACCTAGCGTCCAATACTAGAATTTTATCGAACGTTCCAGGTGACGTATTAATGACTAAATGGATCCTCCTCAACAAGGAACCAAATCCATGGGGAATAATTTTTATGGATTTTAGCCTAACTTGATAAAATGATCGAAGTTAGACGATGGAATTCCAAAATAATTATTTCCCATGGATTTGGTTCCTTGAGAGGAGGATCCATTTAGTCATTAATACGTCACCCGGAACGTTCGATAAAATTCTAGTATTGGACGCTAGGTCCTTAACAGCAACCTCCTGACCTCATGGACCTCCTCAGAAGTCATCCTCCCAAGTTGCCTCCTCAAGAATTAATACCGTGAAAAAGACCATGCCTCTTTAAGGATATCTGACACATATGCACATCTTAGTGCCTCCACACCGCGGTGTTCTTGTTACCGAACAATACCCAGAACAATTTCATCGAACCTCGAACATTCCATCGACAGTTTATCCAGTCATCTTATAACAAATCTTCGACTCAGTTACAAGGTATTTATCAACACGCAATTCGTTTGTAACTATCTCTCTCGAACGGGCTAGTAATAATTAAGGGGAACGTTAGTCATGCTTGATATCGAGTATATCTGTGTTTTCTTTTGTTATAATTAAAATTGTTATTGTTAGTTAATATGGAATCTGAGTGAATCACTTCCTCGTCTCTCTCCTCACCTCTACTCCGAATCCAACCGCTCGCGTGACGTAAAGTCGCGATTTCCGAGTCCTGCGAGACTCGGTGGTGTCATATTCTGACATGGTGTCGAGACACTGACCTTACAGTCACATGTACACAAGCTTTTTCATCCCCTTGTCACAGAATGTTGCCACCGGTGACTCGAAATGAGCCCTAACTTTGTTTTGAAGATCATCATTACTCTCGAACCTCTGCCCTCCTAGCCACTTTTCCTGTTCAGGAAAGAGGTGAAGTTGCCCGGCGCTAAATCAGAGCTATATGCTGGGTGTTTGAAGATGGTGAAGACTTCCACCAAGCTTAAACCTTTTTATTGTGTGAAGACTTCCATCTCTTCCTGAACTGAAAACGTGGCTAGCAGGGCAGAGGTTTGAGACTAATGACAATCTTCAAAACAACATTGTTAAGGCCATCTCAATTCACTAGCTGCAACATTCTATGACAAGGGGATGGAAAAGCTCATCCACAGATATGACAAATTTCTCAATCTTCACAGTGATTATGTCAAAAAGTTTGTTTGTTTGTTAAGTTATGGCAATTAGGGTTTCTCATTTCCCGGTCTTTTGCTTGTCCCGGGATCCCGGGATAAAAGTGAACTGTTTCCCGGGATCCCGGGATAGAATTAATTATTTTTAAGGTATACAAAATATCTTGAAATCAAATGATATAATTATTTTCCATTTTTTAAAGTAATTTTAAAGTTCTGTAACCTCCAAAATCATATTAATAATGCTGTGTAAGGTCTATAGGCCTATAATAAAAATTACCTTTAAATAACGTAGAAATTTTCACAAATAGAAAAAAATTAATTAAAGTTGCTGAAATTAATTAATTAATTAATTAATTAAAATTAATTAAAGCTGGAAACTGCATACAACAACAACAACAAAAAAAATGTTTTGAATTGAGTTAAAAATTAAAAAAATGAACTTCTAATTTAGAAGATAATTTTCGTTTTTTAAATAAAATATAATACAAAATATTGCAAACTTTTATAAGATTTTAAAAAGCAAAGATGGTCAATACTCCAATAACTCACTCTAATTCTTATTTTAGTAATGAAAAGTCTTGCCACCGAGAATGCCCTTTCCGATTCAATTGATGTGATTGGAATAGTGTTTAATGCATTTAAGAGAAGACAGATATTATGTGTTTTTTCACCTGTAGCCTGGAAGATTTCGAGTTCGTTTTCGAGATTGTAGTACTTCTTTCGCTCTCTAGTATTCTTGATTTGTCTACCTTGGCTGCTTTAATAACGGCATCAAGCTTAGAGCTCGATAATTCGGCAATTCATTTGGCTTTAATAATCAGGTTTATGAAGAAAAACTTCATACTTGCAGACTTTGTACTCGTTTGTATCCTTGCCCAATTTGCACAATCTGGCGTCAGGCATTTATTGAAGCTACCGGGCATGGTTAAAACTCAAGACAGCGTAAGCACAATTATTCCAGATATTACAGGTTCCGACAAGTAAAGAATTTTTATAGTCCTGCCACAAATAAGCTATATATTGATTATTGACCATTTGTGACATGCTATAACGAGCAAAAATTTAAAAAAACTAATAGGTAGGTTTAAAATTAATAAATACAAATGTATTCTGACAGTGAATGAGTTAATTATGCTTTCTATTTGCAAAATTCCTCAACCTTAACGCAAAATAAGAAAAAAAATGAATTTTTAAGAAATTTGCGGGATTTCCCGGGATAAGAAAAATTTCCCGGGATATTTCCAGGGTTAAAAAAACAACCGAGATCCCGGGATCCCGTTTGAGAAACCCTGATGGCAATGCAACATTTGGGCAATCTGCGTAGGGGGTTGCCTTTCGGGAGGTCTTTTAATTAAGGGAAACTGGCCCCTATTTAGGCATTAAAGACGTGGAGAAAACCTGGAAAACCATGTGGCAAGCCTGTCCAAGTGAGGCACGAACCCACAACAGAACTCCCAGTGTTCGGAGTGCGAAGACCACTTGGCCACTGGTGGGCCATGTCAAAAAGTAACCATGTTTGTACCTAACTTTTGGTAATAAATTCATTTTGTTATTTACACTTGTCTTTGTTTTACAAACCATTGATGCTTGAAAAAAAGCTGCCCTCATACTTCTTTGAATGCAAACTAATATTTTTTTATAACTGATGCAGTGGTGGATTATGAGACAATTATATGTTTGCACTACATTCTTTCCATTTAACTTTTACATTTTATTTATTTTCTTAACACAATGTTGTCGTTGAGAACATATCATATAGGAACACTTTCAGAGGAGAAAGGTTGTTTTATTGGTGTGAACGGATATGCATTTCGGGCTTAATGCCCCTCTTCAGTCCTGAGATAGTAACAGTTAAACCAACATGATTCTTTAGGAAGATATACATGTAGTTAAAAAAGGAAAAAAAGGAGCTAAAAGTTCTTTTGGTTCCACACATATATACATTAGAATAGTATAACATGTGCTATAGGGTGTGAAATAATTCTGATGAGATGTACAGAGAACATAGACAAGATATCTTGTCTATGTTCTCTGAAGAGAGGCGTTAAGCCCAAAATGCATATCCGTTCATACCAATAAAACAACCTTTCTCCTCTGAAAGTGTTCTTGTGTAATATGTTCTCAATGGCAACATTGTGCTAAGAAAATACATATAATAGAGAACAAGAAGCAACCAAGATTTTACAGTTTATTTTTGTTTGTTATAATGATTTTCTTCCAAAACAATACAAAATGAGGTATTAAAAAATAAATAAGTCTTGCTTACATCATCTTAGGATACATGATCAAGAGATTCATTTTGATAAAATTTATACAGGGCTATCAGCTTCTTGTGATATAAATTAGCCGGCATAGCTAAGTACTTAAATGCAGGAACTATTCTATTCTCAGCACCGGGATGAAAATGACGTCACACTATCGGAACCTGTGACCGGTGCTCTATGCACACACATGTGACATCATTTTCATCCCAGTGCTGAGAATAGAATAGTTCCTGCATTTAAGTACTTAGCTATGCCGGCTAATTTATATCACAAGAAGCTGATAGCCCTGGTTAAATCTAGAGCCAAACTACGGTTCCTTACGGAGTGTAAGAAGAACGGACTTCTACCGATAAATTTATAAACATTTTAATGTCTTATCTCTCCTAATTTTATTAGTCTGCACACTTTTAATATTAATACTTGAGTAATCATTCAACCATCAGCCAAATTAATTGGGCAAAAATTATGTTACAAATATAATTAGAAATTACATGATTTGAACAAGCAGAGGTAGATGTCAGGTGCCATCTCTTCATGAAAGTAGTAACTATAATTTAATTTTAAATTTAGAATAGTCTGGAAGAAAGAATTGGCCCAAACTATTCTAAATTTAAAATTAAATTATAGTTACTACTTTCATGAAGAGATGGCACCTAACATCTACCTCTGCTTGTTCAAATCATGTAATTTAATATTTTTAGCATAATTTCTGCAGATTAATTTGGCCGACGGTTTGATTGTTCATCAGGTTCTTGGAATGTTTATATGTTAATACTTGCAGTTCTTCATTCTTTTGTAAACCATATTATTGGCTTAACATATCCCAAAGGACTTTTTTCTACAGATATTTCAAGTCCAAAAATTGACTCCTTAATTCTTTGTCAGCAGTTTGCTGATAACGAATTAAGGAGTCAATTTAGGTCATAAAAATACTTTTTTGAGATGGTTCATGTCCCATACTTTCTTCCATAATAAATCTAAATTAGTTCAAAATCAAAGGTTCAGAAATGGTAAACAAAATTTTCCAAAAACCTAAAAAATTTAATCCTTATTATATGAATAATTTTAGTTTGACAATTCAACTTTATTTTTAATTATTTTACATAAAATTGCTTTTATCTAATATGTGAATAATTTAAAGTAATGCCATCAATATTTATCTTGTAAAGGATCACATTTGAGACTTATCCATTTGACTTTTTAGTTATATAGAGTCAATTATTTTTGTTATTTGCTTGATCAATTGACACAAGATATCACTTGCATCAGATTAGCTGACATTTACTGGAATGCAACTAATCCAATCTTATGAATACAAAGTTCATTCATCCAGTGGTCACTGGCATAATTTTAAGAAATAGCCAAACATCTGTAATAAAGGACCAAGGGGCAGAAACCTTAAAATGCCTTTTCTGGTATAATAAAGTTATAATTGTCAATTACTAGTGTGTTCTTTGTATGATTTCAGCAAAATTTATGCTTATCACTGAAGATCAACAATCCTTAGATCCATCACAAGGAGGAACTAGAATCTTACCAAAACATTCTTGAAGTTATATGCAATTAGGAACTGAAAATATATGTATAAATATCATTACAATATTTTCTTCACAATCATTGCTCAGTTATTGAAGAACGTTGAAAGTATTTTCACAAAAAACCACAAAAAAGAAATTCTTTATAAAAATAATTTAGTACATTACAGGTTTTTTTAAAACTCTTTCTGCCCAGTGGATACTAAGACGGCCTCTTTAAAGCCCTCTTAGTACCCAAGCCCATTACGGGTTTGACCAGGCCCAGAACGGGGCGAGGGCCGAAATATATCCGGACGGACCACCCCTTGAAAAATTCTCGAGGAGTTTTCGACCCCGTTTGGATTCGTTCTCGGGTCTCCCACGGCAGTAGGCCTCGACCGTCCGGCCGTCCAAGTGCACCAAGTGCACCAAGTGCACGGGTTAGAATTCAAGCAGACGTTTAATTGTTTTACAACCGGTGGTGGACAATAGGAGGAAATGAAACAAAGGAAGGTCATTCTGGAGTTGAGTGGAAACCAAGCTGACTAATGACTAGTTTAAATTTTATATTCTATCTGTGTTGGGTATTCACATTTTTGTAGCTGAACCGTGTCTGCATTTAATAAAGAGATTTTGTGTGTTGTTTGACCTACAAATACTCTTAGTGCAAAGGGTTAAGCACACATTTGTACCAATCCTCGGAAGCCATGTTGGAAACAGGAAACATTAGTGCATCGGCTCTGATATTTCTGCTTAACTTCGTTACGAGGATGCGCATTGTTTAAAATAATCGCCGAAAATTGCATTAAAAACGAAAACGCAATACCAATCATATAATCAGACACGTGATTCATCATCATAACTAATATCAAACATGGCGTCGAAGTGACGGTAACGTCTAGCGAAAACACAGAATCATCTGTAACAAAAAATATCTCTTTTTAAAACCAGTGTTATTTTTAATTAGCGTGCCATAATCACACAGATAAGGTAATAGTCTAAAGTACAGTTTGAAAATATGTTATATTGATCGTCTTCAAAACTAAAACACAATAGGCACGTGTGAAATGAATTACATATATATATTTTAAAAAATGCAAATCTACGATACTTACACTAAGTTTTAATATCACAATTTGAAATAAACTTGTTAATTTAAATATAAGAAGTTCTGAGATGTTAAAGGTTCTCGTCGCACATGCAAATAAAACAAAGAAATCGCCGCCGCCACTTACAGAAACTTCTACCTACTACGCCCCCTACTAACAAATGTTTCTCTACGCTACTAAATAAATGTTATATATTTTATAAATTTATTCGATTTTAAAATTATATATATGTGTGTGTCTGTTTATCTATTTTTTGTTTACTCTTTCCGCCCTGTAGGAACTAAGAGGGCCTCTTATAGCAGGCCCATTATGGGTTCGGTCAGGCCCACAATGGGGCATCCGGGTGGTGAAGGACGGGAACCGACATGTCCGAACGGACCACCCCTCGAAAAATTCCTGGGGATTCCTTGACCCGTCCGGATTCCATCCCGGCTCACCCAGAGCGGTGGGCTGCCACCTCGACCGCGCGGCCATCCGGCCGTCTGCGTCAGCGGTGTGCCAAACGTAAACACTAGTCCATTTTGATCCAAGATAATATAGAATTGTTGAAAAAATAAGCCGTAGTGTGTGTAAGTTATGTTGATGAAGTATTCTTATACGTGACCACGGTTGGTCCGTGCATGGCTTGGCATCAAGGGTGTCGGAAATGCTGTAGTACTGTATACTGTACCTGTTTTTTGGAAGATTCGGAATTTTAAGGTCGTTAGAATTTTCACTTGATTTCCCTGTGTGTTTATTATTTACGTCAACCGCTTTTTATCGGGTTTAAAATTTATGAACATACAAGTCGAAAGGCCCGATGGCGTCGGGGTATACTAAATTACAAATAAAAATAATATACGGAATATTATACTGTAAAAATATAAAATACAGTAATTTATATTATTAATTTAAATTAATTTAAATAATAGCTAGGGCGCCCCTAGTGGCCATTTTTGGCATACCGTGACAGAAAATGTCCATTTTTTCAGCTTTATATAGTAGATTTCGACACAAGTCGAAAAGCAGCGTTTCGTTTTCTTTCCGGGATATGATTGAATCTGAATGCTACATTTACGAATTTACGAAGAAAATTGTGGGTCGGATCGCGTGCTAGTATACGGCCCGAATAGGATGACGTCAACCCCATTTTACTGGGCTAATAGTTTATTAAAATACTTCCATAGTCCAAAGAGTACATAAGTAATCGCCTGTTTTTACGTGTGATCGACTTTGGACATTTAAATAATGCATTTGGTGAAATACTTTTCAGTCGTTCGCATGCTGGCTCATGTCCATGACCAGCCGACAACGGCCAGATGAGCGCTCAAGGTGGCAGCCTACGGCTCTGGGATTCCGGGATCGAGTTCAGACGGGTCGAAAAATCCCCAGTAGTTTTTAGGTGATCCGACCGGATATGTTGGCCCGTCCCTCACTACCCGGCCGCCCCATTGTTGGCTGGCCGAACCCATAATGGGCTTGCAAAAAGAGGACCGCTTAGTACCCACGGGGCGGAAAGAGTAAAAAGGGGGAAAAAAGACCGACCGACGACAACGGCTTTTAACCGGGTTTAAAATTTATAAAGAAAATTCGAGACACAGGTAAAAAATGTCGAAAAACGGCTTTTCGCCCATATTCGGGGTATGATCGAGTTTGAACGCTAAATTTACGAATTTACAGAAAAAGAAAATTGTCAGCCTCGTGCGCGCTTCCGGCCCGAACAGGAGGACGTTAAGCTCGTTTTATCGGGGTAAAAATTTATTAAGATATTTCAAAGAATAGATAAGTAGCCTTCCGTTTCTATGGTGTGATCGACTTTGCACGTTTCACTTACGACTAAGGTATCCTGTAGTATAGTGACTGTGGTGAGGGATACCAACCCAAATGTTATTGAAGGTGTCGCGGAATAATTGCAAGTTAGTGCGAGTATAGTGAAAACTATTATTATTAGTATTACTAGTAGTGTTCAGTTGAGTGAAGATATACCTAAGATCACTGGCAGAATCTATATCAGTGGTCGACCCTAGGGGTGATGTGACTGTTTCCTAATTATATATGTTATGGACAAAGTGATTAATATGGGCATTATTCATAATGACCAACAAAATCAGGCATTGTAATCATGGGCGTAGCGTACAATATAAATTTTAATAATTTATCAAATTGACAAGTCATTATGAATACTGCTATCATCTAGTTGGGCAAAGTGATAATAATGCGTCGGAGTGATCATCCAAAATACGCTAGCCAATCAACACTCGCATCTGAGTTGCGTGTGCATGTTGCGTTTAGTACCGAATTTGGGGCGGTCGCGTCTGTTTGTGCTTTTGACGGATTCCTCACGGAGGGCTGCTGCAGGCAGGCCGCGTATTGTTTAACGTCACTAGATATTGATTCACCGTAGTTCTTGAACACGTGTATCAATAACTAGTATGTATCAATATCTAGTGACGTTAAACAATCGGCGGCTTTCCTCCGGGAGAAATGCATTGTGATCACAAACAGTTGCGACCGCCGCCTATGTGCATCGTAATGGTGCACATAGGTAAAATTTTACCATTTAATTAATATAGTTAATAGTATTAGTTTTATTAGTTATAGTAATAGCTTAGTTTTAAAAGATTATATGTTTTTTTAAATACTTTGAAATAATTCACAAAAAATAAATATTTCTAAATGAAATAAATGGAGTTTTTTTAATCAAATTAAAATGTCGCACAATTTAAAATTCAGTACTAAACGCAATACGCAATCAACACAATACAATCAGCAACTCAGAGTGCCAATTGGCTAGCGTAAGTCAGATAATCACTTTTCAACGTATTATTATCACTTTGCCCGACTAGGTGATAGCAGTATTCATAACGACCGGTCAATTTGATAAATTAATGAATATTTATCACACTGCGCATCCTCTTTTGTCATTATTCATAATGACCGAGCATTATGAATAATGCCCGATTAATCACTTTGTCCATAACATATATATATATAGATTTTCGTGTTTGTTGTGTTAGCCCTAGCAGCAACACCTGCGTATGAGGAGGTCGGTATACTCAATGAAAATGTGGTTTTTGCATTATCTAAGATTTTGTTAACTTTCCTGTCAATAACAGATCCGACCTTCTCGGGTGGGTCAGGGATCGAATCAATGGTGGACTGGCATAATCTTTTCAACCTGTGGATACTAAGATTGCCTTTTTTTAACAAGCCTATTATGAGTTTGGTCAGGCCACAATGAATGGGGTGTGGTGAGAGATGGGGCCCAATGGCTTCATATCCAGATGGAGCACTCCAAAACTGAAAAATTCCTGGAGTTTTTTTATTCGTACAGATTTGATCCCGGGTTTCCCAGAACAACAGATTGCCACTTTAAAAACCTTTCGGGTTTGTTTGTTTAGTAGCAAGTTGGGCATCGGCTTCTTTGGCTATTTCTCCCCGTGGAATGTGTAAGCTCACTGGCTAATATTGGTAATTGGATATTCCGGTGGACGTAACGCGCGCGAATAACGCCTTCCGGGAGGTCTTTTAAGGGTAACTGACCCCTATTCAGGAATTACAGACGTGGAGAAAACCAGGAAAACGCCACGCGGCCAGCCCATCCTGGCAAGGCGCAAACTCACGACCGAACTCCCAGTGTTTAGGGAACGAAACCGCTGGCAACTGGTACTCACCTTTCGAGTGTAAGAAGAATTTTGTGTCCTTAGGACTAAAAGAAAAGTTTTAAAAAGTCACAAGTTTATCAAACTTTAAAATATTTTTTATTAACTTAATAATAAATAAATTAAAAATGAAATAAAAAATCTTTTAATAAAAGTAAATCTTAAAATAAATTAAATTATTTAAATGTAGCTGATGAATCAATAAATTTACAAATCCGGTAGGCGTCGCTGTTCGGATCGCAAATCACCTGACTTGGTTAACCGAAGTGTAGGTCTGAATCGTTTACATCTTCTAAAAATTGTAAAGTATTTATATAAGATCTACGCCTAGTTTTACGATATCCTCGATAATAATATAATGGCTAGTCAAACTCAAGGCATTCAGCAGCTATTAGCAGCCGAAAAGAGAGCTGCAGAAAAAGTGGCCGAAGCAAGAAAACGTAAGTCTTTTTTTACGTTTATTTAAGTATAAATTATTAATAAATGTAAGATGGATGCATAAGATCACAACCATCGCAACTAATTAAAGAAAAGTATAATTTAACTGCATTTAAATACTGTATTTACAATTGAAAATATATACACAATTATATTTTGTAATATAAATACAGTAAGACCCCGCTTAGCGCTGCCTCGCTTAACGCTGATTCGATATAACGCGGTCTGCTCGAAGCCTAAAAAGAAGCTAAAAATTTACGCCGATTTAAATTATCTCGGCATTTTATCGATTCGTATATAATGCGATTATTTGCGAACACAAACCAATCGGCCAAAGGTGACAAAAAGGCATACTTTCTTTAAATCTGTGTTTGTTTGGTGCAATTTTGGAAAAAATATAACGTCGTGGATGCCGTAGGCAATATCGACTTGGCTTGGCAAGAATTAACTGATAAGTGCACGAATGAAGTGTGGAAGAAGTTACGGCCGAAGGCATCCGAGAATTCTCCACGAGAAGAGTTTGTCGTCGTATCGTTAGGTTGACCGAACTCGATCTAATCTATACGGCGGGACTAGGAGATGTAGACGAGAGGGATATCAAGGAGTTACGGCATGTTTCTGGCGAGAGCGACGACCACCTTCGAGAACTGGCAGAACGTGGAATTCGTGTGGAACTGGAAAATAGAGATTCTGAAAACAAAGCACTCAAAAAATTTCTCTACAGATTTCCCTAGTAGAAGTTTGGTAAGATAACTGAAATTGTTGATCAAATTGTAGCGAATGATTCAGATTTTAAAAGGAGTGCAAAAGTGAAACCAGGCATATTATTATACAAATTAATATAAAAATAACTTAAAATTAGAGTAAAATTTGTTTCTTTTTGGTGGCATGTTTCCCTATCCCTATTTACTCTATGTTAAAATGACTTCGTTTAACGCTATTACTCTTAGCATTTTGTTGTCTAGGAATGCATCCCCTACGTTAAGCAGGGTCTTACTGTATATTATAAAATCTGAAATTTTGTAATGTTCGTGTTTTTTTGATAATTTACATAACCAGAAACAT